TAAGTACACCTGTATTAATTTTGCAGGCTCTGTAAGTACTACCTCAGAAGTACATTCACCACCAAATATAGGTTTAAGGCGTAGTGGACAAATTGAAGGTGTGCGACAGATGCATAGCAATGCACCAAGAAGTGAAATAGCCACTGAGCGGGACCTTGTGGCTTGGAGTCGAAGGGGTGTGGTACCTGAATTATCATCAGGGGTAGCCAGGTAAGGCTATCTCTTCTGAAAGTTATTAATTTGATTAAATTTGGATTTTGGTCTAGATGGCATGTGACCATGCAGTTACTTGGTTTTGGTATGTATATTCCTCGATGGGTTTTTAATTTTTTGGAAGAGGGAGGATGATATCATGAGGAAGACATTAACTTCTAGGAGAGATTGAATAAGAAAGCAATAGTTTGGCATGTGTTTGGGCGGGAGAGGTTGTGAGGCTAACTTTTCATACTATGCAGCAGGGACATATTTGCCTAAAATTAGTTCTAGTGTCCTAGCTGTAAGTAGTAACACAATATTGTTCAACTGCCATTTGCTGACAACACCCTGTTTTTACATTTTAACTCCTTTTGGCAAAGATGGTACACCAGCCCAGAGCAACTTTTCTGAAAGTAATCTAGATGTAATCTTAGTGGTAAATTCTTGTGAGGCAGGGTAGATTTGCACCTTATAGATTAATTTAGAGATGTATAGCATATGCTTTCCTAAGCAATGACTTTCTTCATCAGACTGTGAAGGTGTTGCAAGTCTAGTAACAACGTTGCTTGCACTCTCCTCATTTTAACTTTTTTTGCCTCAAAAGATAATCTCATTTCAGAATACATTTATCCCTCAGTATTCTACCATGGCGATGGAATTCATTCTTGAGAGAATCAGTAATGCCTCTCCTTTGTGTTGCTTTGCTTCTGGTCCAGTGGTTGCTTGAAGCCCTTTTCTTAGTGGCCCTTTTGACTCTGTGCCCTGCATTCAAAGAGCAGTTCCAGATACAGGTCCTACTGGCTGAGACCTGATTATTTGTCTTGGCATCACAAGCCGTCCCTGCTCAATTTTTAGGTCTCATATTCGCAGAGCAGGAGAACTTTACAAAGTGGAGGAGCTTCATGACTCCGTCGTGGTGTTCCACTTCTGATGAAGTACTCTTACCCCAGATAGTGGACTTCAGTAGAGAACTTTGGTGAGCCTTTGCCTTGTGGTAAAATATCTTCCAGACAGTCTGCACATAGCAAGCTCATCCTCCATGTCAGTGGGGCTTATATGACAAATGCAAGTTACTTCTTCCCAGTTACTTGGGAAATAGGTAAATAATATCAGGCCCTTTTGTGGGGACCAGAATTTTTCTGTTACCACCTTGTGCCATGTTTTTTATTCTTAACAGGCAGGGGAAGGTAAAAAGAGCTTTATGATAAGAAAGGATAAGGAATCAAAGAGTAAGCTTGCTAGGAAGGAAGTCTTGTTCATGTGCCATTTGGCAGTTAGCCAGCTACTATGTACTGTTGGTTTGCTATAACTTTGGACTTCATGAATATCTGGCATACTTTGTTGATTTGTCTCCAGACTTTTAGAAGACCTTTATTTGACTTCTTATGAAGGGACAGTTGAAGGGACAGTTAGTGGCCAAAAAATGCCATATGAGACACCCTTGATGCAACTGATACCACACCTTCATCAGTGGCCACAGTGGTGATCATGAGACAGTCTTCTTCCCTTCTGGGCTCTTTTTTTCTAAGGAACTGATTAATAGGGTGAAGAACATTCCCTTTTTTGAATCAGAAGTATTTTAGCTCCAAGTTAAATGAGGCTCTATACATTGCTGAGGACACTGGATACTTTCCTTTCCTTGGGAGCAAGGAAGAGAGGACTAATTCGTTTGGCCCTGCAGGACAGATCCAGATCTGGTAGCATGTGGGACCTCATGCGTGCCAAATGACCCAACTCCAGTGGTATGCTGGCTTGCCACTGCTTGCTGCCTATTTTTCCCTACCGCCAACGATGACCAAAGATCCCAAATTTGGTGGTGGGCAAAGGTCTGGGGGTAAGTAGCAGTGACATTTACCTTCTGGGTTCCAGAGCTACACCAATGTAGTGGCTACAGTAGCAGCATCAACAGGCCCTACAGGCCAGAATTAAATCACTCACAGGCTGTTAGTTGGATAGCCCTGCTTTAGGGTGTTTACGCACTGCCAAGTAGTACAGATACAAGCCTTATAGTCAGAGATGTTGACACTGGCTTTATGATCCAGATATCTTGTTCTGCAGGGACCAAACCCTCAGACTGATAACGACCTCTCCATTTGATAATAGGCTAATTCTGTGATGGCAGATGAGAACAATGCAAACAATTCGATATCTACCAGTCTGAAAGCTGTCATCAGAGGGAGGGTACATCTGGCTACTATGTGTGCTTCACCCTGAGGTTCTCTTTTGCATGTCAGCAGCCTGGAGGTCTGAGCCTGAGGCTGTCCCCCATCCTCCTCCACACTCCCAGTGGGGTGGGTGAGATGGGCTGGTAGTATGCTGTCTGTCCATGATGGCCTCGGGTTCCCATCTTGGGGACCCTTTGCTGTTCTGAAATCCCTTCTTTTGTATTCTTTTTCCCTTCATGACTCTTCATTTCTTACCATCACTGATTGGTCTCTCAGTGGTCATGATATTTGTCCATATTCTGTCCCATCAGCATAATCCTTTGTTTCACAAACCCATCACATGCACACATCCTAATTTGGGCTTTACCCGTCTTCTCCTAATTTGGTCTTTTCCCGAAAACTGGAAAGCCTAAGGGCCCTGCAGTTGAGCACTGTGACCTAGTGCCACCTTATGTTATGGAACAGTGTGGTACACATCTTCAGTTCCCCAGCTTGTGCTTGCTGTTTGCCTGTATCAGACACAGTGGGCCTTGAAGAAACTTTGTCACAGACAGGCTTTTTAGAAATCAGTTAACCCTTACTGTTGCCTTGGATCATTATTCTAATATTTATCTACCTATAAGCCAGTTCCCAAGAGCAAACCTGTAAACACCATTTTCTAACCATCAAGAGACACCGTGTCGATACCTGCCCTTTGCTCTGCATCTCATGAACTGTCCTCTAGACGTAGCAACACTTCCACAAAAAGAAGCATCCTTCATCAGCAGTCCCTTCAACTCCTCATTCTCCACATCATAACCAAAATCTTTGGGATGGTCAAGAGATGCAATCATTTCCTTAAGTTCCATTTATTTCCCTTCCTTTTGCTTGTGAGTGGCTTGCTTTGGTTTCTGGAAGCTTGGCACTCTGTCTTTGATGTCACCATAGCTCACTGTAACCATCCTGTTGCACACACTTCCCCCAGTTTCCATTTTCAGTACCTGTTCAGGAATTCTTTTTATGAGATTATGCTTTGATAAGGGATCTTTTTTTTTTCTCTTCTCTTTGGGGTGGTGCTTAGAATAAGTTCTTGTATAGCAAGGGAAAGGGGCTATAAACTAGTTACTTTCTGGTCCTGAGGAGGAAAAGGATGAGGTTGTTTCTTGGATGTAACTAAAGCTTAATTTTTTTTCATTTGTATACTCAGTAAATGTAAGTAAATAATGCTACATTCATGGTATGAGAGTGAAATCCTATACTCATTTGCAGAAATACTACTCTGACAATTGTTTTGACTTTGGAAATTCTTATAGGTGGTTTCAAGTACACAATTGGATGGGTAAAAAATTGGTGGTGGTGGACAGGTTGTACTCCGCCTGGTGAGATGTGAGCAGTGGGGTACCCCAGGGCTTGGT